CTCCCGACTGTTCTCAGGATCGAACCAACAAACCTTGAAATCACCGAGTGAGAATCCTACGTAGACAAAAGTTTTGACAGTATTTATGACCATTCCAACGTATCTGATCTTCATACGGGCTTTCTGTTCTTCTTTGATGTAAAATGGTGAACGTTCAGTATTCAACTTCCTCTATTATATGACTTGTGGAGAATCATAACGTAGTTAGCTTCCACTTGTGATCAGAAGTGGTTGCAAGAGTAGCAGGACCAAACTCCGGCATATAAAAAATGGAATGATTTGGACTGATCTCCTAATATTTTGTCTTTTGACCGAACTGCCTTTGTCTGGGATGAAATACGAGTTGTAAAGGATTGTCAGTAATGTTGCACTATTTGTGTACATTTCACCCTTTCTTTGTGAAGCTAACCCTTTCAAACAATCCAATCTTAAGAGAAAAATCTGAATACTTAAAATCTCCATCAGTACTCAAACAACGCTAGACTAGATGTTTTTCAAACACATCACATGTAGTCTTTTGAAATCGTTCTCAGTAATCAAAGTGCTGTACTCACAAGGCCATCCTTTGAGGGGAGCAGCTGAAAATATTGTATCCTGTCTAGCCCGAGGACAATCAAGGAATGCGTCTGTCAGAACTCAGAGCCATACAACAGTCTGGCTCACACATTGTACACCTGCCACCTGCTCACATCTTATTATGATTACGTCTCTATTAGTGGATGAATGGAGTCACCATTAGGCGACGTCCTGAGCCTGCCATTAGTCAACCTGCAGCTCGTCCGCAGGATGAAACTGTGGAACTACGAGGCTGCATGGAACAGTTCCAAGCCACCAACACGTTGGTGATAAAAAGGAAATAAAACTTTGCAAGTGGTTGAGAAAGTCGGTGAACACTTTTGAGTTGGTAGGCTGAATTGTCATTGACTACAACATACTCAATTTTAAGGGTAAAAATAGTAAGAACAAATTTATGAAAACCTACCGCTTTATAGTAGGATGATCTTTCACTGTACATATACGACAACATTTTTAGTGCGAAAAGTGGTAAGAGGTATCTATGAAATGACGGGATTTTACTAGGGTGATTTAAAACGGAATAGTCTATTTTGGGTAAAAAAACAAATAGATGGGCAAGAACAAATAGATTTGGTATATAGCAAAACTGTCCATCATTGATTTCCTTGCCAAACTAACTTTCTGCTCACGATATTCCAGGTTATTCCGGATTCAGAAATACCGAACTGAACTGCAATCGGTTATGCAACTATGCAATTGCAGGCGCATAATCCAACCCTGCAAACTACAGGTCTATCTCGACTACAGGTCTATCTCGACTTTCTCTTCTATTGGAAACATGTCAGAGGGATGGGATGTTCACTATGATTCTTTGGGCATACAGATGTGATAGTCATCAATAAAACCTTTTTAGTAAATAAACTCAGTTACAACCATAATGTTGTCAATTATAGTGGACGCAATCGTTGCTTAAACGTCTGCTTTGTCTTCACGTGTATCTCCTTTAGATTACTGAGGTCTGTCATAATTTTCTGATTGGCTCCTAAAATCTTTTTTTCTTCTTCTGGAATCTTCAGCTGCCTTCTATCATTGACTATTGGATACAGAAGTTGTTGTATTGATAGTCAAAGCTTCTAAGCTATTCTAATCACAGTTACTTAACACATTGTTATGAAAATATTAATTTATTTTTAGTTAAAACAAAATTTCAGAAAATGAACACTTCTTGTGGGACTAAACTAAATCCTACCATGTTGCCTTTTAGGATCAGGGAGTGTAGATTTTTCACAAAATGGTTGTCATTAGATGTAAATCGATACTTCAATTGTTGCTTTTAGTGACTTTTATTGGTTTAAGAATGTCAAATTGACAGCTATAATTTGACACCATATTTTAGGCAGCGTTACAAAAAGGCTGAACGTGAAGGTAAAACAATCCGTTGAAAAACTTGATTGGTAAGAGTAAAACCACTACTAGCAAAGGTTGAGAATCTTAAAGAAACAACCTCGGTAGGCATTGAAATCTCTTCGTCTTCCCGTAGCCAAAACCACCACGACTATTACAGTATGGTAAATCTATTAAGAATACGACATGGGTATAGGGATATCCTGAATTACCTGGCCCACACATTTCTAGCTTGACGGGCTACACGTCACAGATCCAAAAAGCGGATTGCCATCCACAGATTTCCTAGCACGTTCCTTCCAAGTCATCAAAGCTTCAACAGTTGTTCAAAGCTAACTTGGTATATTTTTGCACAATAATCCCGAGTTACCTCGTCCATCTCATGTTCTCACGGGGGTCCGCGTTGCAGATCCCCTGGGTAGATTGCCTCCCCATAAGCCTCTTGCCATCTCTGTAATTAGTGGCGACAACGTACCAAGATAATGAAGTCGTTGCCATATATTTAACCCGCGATCTAATTGAACACAGAGCACACTATCTACTTATCTGGGATATGTCCTGATAACAGTATAGTTGTAATTAAAGCTAAGCATGCTCTCCGGCAAAATAAACAAGATCGCCGGCGCTAGGGCGGTTGTTTACTACCACTACGTCGACGATTTTGTGTCTTCATTGTGTTTCCGTGGATTCTTTGTTTGGGGTTATCAACAGGATGAATGCTATTTAGATTCGGGTTTCCTTCTGTGATTTCAATTCTTCGTTGAAACCATTCTTGTATTCATCTTGGTAATTAAATTCCGAAATGCTTCTAGAACTATGAGCGATGTAAGACCAGGGCGTGAACAGACACCTCACAAAAAAACGCCACAAAATTTCAATTATGTTGAAAACACAACAGCACAAAACAACAGTATCACGAACTCTTTTCATTACGAATTCAACTACGCTTTTTTTCTAACATTATTCTGGCATAGTCAACAGTCACAGATTAAAATATAGACTACTGTTTTATGATTATAAGTTATTAATACTAAACAATTTTATATTTGGTTTGTTGCCAATCTCTCCACAAAACAAGGAATGCATCTAGTAACGTGTTCTAGTAATATACGAAATCACCACCAGAAAATGTAAGCACAGCAATACAGTCACCTACCTACTCTATTGAATTTCATTTTGAAATCCTAACGATAATGCCTCCGCTATAATTACAAACACCGCCAACACCAACTGCCGAAGATAGGGAAGCAATTAAAACTAGGCGATCGGTTGAACACCGTGGGAGCCCAATCCCCACACTGGTGCGATATGGCTTATGATTTACCGAGATCTTATCCCGACAATAAATACGTTACGGACGAGATGTTTGTCGGACTGTTTATATAGCATCGGACGGCACGGACCATAAAAATATGAAGAGCAGATCCCCGATACGCAGACACAATGGTCTTCGGTTCGGTTGTAATAGTTATTTACGGGCAGTTCGTCGACGGACCGCGACGGTACGCGCCAATTATGACCATTACGTCACTTCTCCCTCCACTTCTCCGCCACCTTTGAAATATGTCGAAGGTAATGGCACATGTTTGTTGTAGGCCGCCATTTTACCTCAAACGGCAATTATTGGAATCTACGTGTCGAGTAGAGCTGTTCGATCATAATTAGTTCTTTCAGATTAGCTAGTCAACCTTGAGTATTTCCTAGTATGGGAGCTGGCATTAAATGTGACTTTAAACTTAATTGCGTGAGAAAACCAGTATAGGTTTGATTCGTATTGGCCGAACAAGAGTCACTATTACCTCAGTCTAAACTATAAACGTCGAAAAACTTAGCAGTGAATGCTGACAGCAGCGCACTGTGTAATGACATCGACAGATGCGTACTGACAGCAACACGCTGCGTAGTGACTCTGGTTGGTTGTTGCGCAGTGATAACGTTGTTGCGTAGTATTAGCGATGGACGCACACTGACGCCGACGTGCTGCGTAGTGACGGCGCATGCGTACTAATCTGTCTGGAGGCAGTACGCTAACAAGTCCAGCTCATCACCACGCAGCTCTCAGGTAAATGTTGTAGACACGGCAATCTAAGTGCAAATGGCCCCTAAATGGGTTCCCATACCGTCGTAGCATCGCACAGGCCGTAAATCCTCTCCGACAACTGCGGAGCATGTGAAATATGAAGTGCGCATTTCAAATATGTCTAAATAAATCTTTTAGGCGCTTAACCTTTCCGCTAACAGCTTTCTCCGTTCGTCCGAGATGTGTCAAATTTGTAATTGTTTATGTTAATGGGTTGTCAGCACTGTTCTCCGGTTAATCGGCGAGCGGATCAACAATATTTCCCGTTGTATATTGTTTGGATATCAGTAACATTATCTCGGTATGGTACAAATAAGAAATTGTTCCTAATTGTGTTGCAAAGTATTTTAGTACACCTACATATTTTAAGTAATTATCCCCAGTGTTTGGGAATTCAATTTGGACAACACTATAAATACACTGACTGCTTATAAAAATCCCAGTAATGGCTGTAATTTAAATTTTAAAACATTGAAGAATCAGGGTAGAGTTACACAAACTACCCTAATCATAAGTAAGTTACATCTTCTTCATGAGTCGTTTCTGTTAAGCATGTTTAAATTTTACCATGGATAAAAAATACTCCTCTCAGTGGCTTAGACGAAACATATATGAACTTTTAAATGAGAAGGGCTTCGTGTGTTTTTTTTTTCAATCAAATTTTGCGTTTAGTTAATTTGTTGACACGTAGAGTTTCACATACAGTAACTTAAAATTTTTACCTAGAATATTCCTAGTATTTCCATATACACTACGTACTTTGGTTTTTACTGTTAGCCTAACGATTTAAAGATGGTATCTGGAATCAAATCAATGAATAAGTCTTGAAGAAAGAAGACAGAGCGATAATACACATTTCACTTTCCTTCGTATTTGTAGATCCTTTGTCGACTTAGCATCAGCGTGGTATATTAGTGGCGAAATTTTTATTTGACGCTTTCTCCTAACCAATTCACCTCTCTTGGCTCATCAGCCTCTATAACCAATTCTTGTCCGACAGTGAACGAGAGGCCACCGTGATGCGAGCTAACAGCTGGCTCTACCATTACTACATGGTGCAGTCCAAGCTACAGTACGGCCTAGCCTACGACACCCATGTGGCTACGAGGATGTCCACCCCGTACTTCCAGCAGTCCCAGTACCATCCCCAGGATACGCCGCCGCCGCCTCCAGTCGCCGCCTACCATCATCAGGTGTCACCATCCCAACTACCAACCCCTACGCCACACCATCTACACCCTCAGGTGAGTCAAGCCGAAGATTCTACAAGTTTTGTAACAGTGAGTACAACAATTGTAAAGTGATATAGGTGTAAGAAAAACTGAAAAAGATAAATCATTTGAGGTATGAAAGAATTACAGAAGAGTTGAGGTTCAGAAGGATTTTTTTTCGGATGTGAGACTTCTCGGTATTGCCTTGATAATAGTGATCTCATAGAAAGGCTGGAACGGTTTTTGTTTGATTGGAATGAATGGATTTGGAATTAGAATTTGATTGTTGTATATGGCAGAATTTGCAGGGGTCCTTGATAGATCTCTGATTAATTCAACCATTCCTAAAATATTTACATATATTTTTTGTAGGTCTACTCACATTGTACATACAAGTTTTACACAGTGAAGAATTGTGTAGAGTTCAAAAGAGGGTTTAAATTTTGAAACAATACATATTTTCACTCTTGAAATTCTCTCTATCTCACCGAGGAAAATGTCACTTCCGATAGGAAAAATGATATCGGTACTTTTATAAATAACTCGTACTGCAAGTTTACCCAATACATATTCTTCCTCATCTACAGGCCACGCTGGCGCACACCCCCGAGCCTGTGTTCCGGTACGGCCGTCGCAGCGAGCCTGAGCCCGTGGACTACTCTTTACACTCAGAGCCCCAGAGGCACGACTCTCCGCACCTCAAGCAGGAGCCCCCGAGTGATCTGTCCCCCGGGTCTTCGCCCTCCTCGGAGGCTGTGGACCGAGAGGTCGGCGGGACTGTCCTGGTAGCATCTACAACCGCTTCCCTGGGCAGGTCGAGACTACTTGTCAAGGCGGCAACAACTATTGTAAGTAGAGAAAGACTATGTTGAAAGTAGAGTTGTGAGTTAATTTGCAATTTTCATTCGTATGCTTTCGTTTCGTGCATTAGTTTAAGTTGGAGATTGCTGCATTTACGCTCTAACTTTGAAGAAGAGTAGTTAGTGAGTAAAGTATGTTTCAGCTGTTGATGGCGGTTGAAAATGAATACCTTTATACCTTTAAACATTTGTGCATAATTTTCCTTGAAGAAATTTTTTTATAATACAAACTATATTATATATTTATTGGCTACGAGAATGCTACGATCCATTTTTACGCCAAATACCTTTTTACTAAACATTAAAAACATATTTTTTTGGATATAACTTGTATAAAAATTGTAGTGTGACAGGGTGGACATTAAGTTAAAAGATCACAGTTTACAATGGTATATGATATTACGTAAACTATCTTTGATTTCTCCTTGGCATTATGCCTCATGTTTGCATTGACTTCCAGGTCGATCCACACGATTTCATGGACCAATGGAACCCCAGTCCGCCCTGGTCTGACACAACGGTCCAGAAGGTACCAGACATAGTCACAGACATGGTCCAGGACATGCAATACGTCACCACGACCCCACCAACCCCAGTCAGTCTTCAGCACACCCCCGGGCCCCACTCGCAGCACTTCAGCTTCGACTGGGCCCCGGAGCAGTTCGTTCCCAACGTCCACCACTCGCATCCCCTGCCTGTAGACGACGACGTCTCCTGGCCATCGGATCATAGGCTGTTCCCTCTACAGCCTCCGCCGGGTCCTCGCCCCTCGCTACTCAGGGTCGACACGGAGCCCATGGACACGGGCCAACATAAAGGTGAGGGTCGAATGGAGAATTTAGTGAAGGGTGAGAGGTATTCATTTCGTTATCGAAGAATTTTATGTATCGGAATAAGTACTTTGGTAAACTGTTAGCTTTAATACATTTTGTTGAAGTTCTAAGAGAGGTTTAGCATTTTGGTGGTACTGTCAAGTAAGCAAGTTTCTAAATAATTTATTTGTTTTTCATCCTTTGTCGAACTTCACCACTAACTGTAATACAACACGATACTTCCTTGAAACGGTAAATTTCCTTTGTGATATTAGTTTATATCGCAGTTCATCGTCGATAGGAAATCGAATGCACTTTTATCCAATAAATAAAAACATACAAAGTAACAGTTTGATTACCAGCCGTCTTGTATAGCGCATTTCATTGGAGACTTAAACGAGTGGTAAGAATGAAGTTTTCCTTTAAAATTGTGTGGCTCCGTGTTTGTAACGGATATTATTATACATTGTAATATTATATGGAATATTTAAGTAGCACTTAGATAAAAAAATATCACGTATATCAATAAATTTATAATATTTCAGAATTAATTTATGGATTTAAATGCTGATAACCGGCAAACCATGAAGGCGCTAATGAGGCAGCAAACCGATTTCACTACTTTTTACTTTTCTCCCCGGACTGCTCAATTTTACATCAGTCAGACATTTAGGCTTGTTACCGTATTGTAGTCGAGCTCTTCCGCTCACATCAATCATAGAACTACGAGCTGTGAAATCGCCGTCAGTGGAGAAACGCCGCGAGTCCCACGCCTTCGACATCTTACTTACACTTTGACAGCTGGAGTTAGGGTACATTGTTGCCCCTTTACAAGAGTTGTACCATAGATAAAATATACTCTCTTGGTAGATTTCACATCCTTATGGAACAGCTGAAGCCAATTTGCTTGTTAGTTCTGTCCAGTGCACTGAGGTCGTGTTTTGTTTACAACTTGTTTCTTGTTATTTCAATCATTTCAAACCTATTTTAACCAAATAAAACGATCTAATCATAAACAATAACTCGCCCCTTGGTTATGTAACCAAACAGTTAAGTACAAATCATGAAATCGACCCTAAAAAATTAAAACAAAATTTCGTATACACTAGTCGATCAGTGTCACCGGACATAAACTAGACACGAAAAACGAGCTTCAAAATTTACAATAGGGCCAGTATACTTGGGTTGGTTAGTCTATGGTTGTACCAAAATAAATGGTGTATATTTTTTATGACGTTTCCAAATTTGAGTAAAAAGAGGATCGCGAGCATATTGTACACGAAAAATTCATTACAAGAAATCATTAGACTATTTATTATATTCTTTCGTAGAGATTAAATCTTCAGAAATTCTTGTATACCACCCGAATAATTAGTATATTGTTGTTATCTCAATATCCCACGTCAACAAATTCGATTCAAAAATACATTGTAGCCAGTTCAAAGCTAAATGATGAGGGTCTTTCTATCGTCTATTTCAACTCATCATACTACGTTCACATTTTTTACTATAAAAACCATGAATGGCGTTTATTACTTTGAGCTCCTAAAAATCTAAATTTTTTTCATATGCTTCTAGTGACCTTTTAGGTTCCTAGTCTAAAAGTGTCCATCATATGTATAACGAAAGATGATTTAAAACTCCTTGAAAATTCAATTTTTTTTAACTAGGAAACTTTTGCTAACCCGTAGCTAATTTTTGGTTTTGCCTTTAATCGTTACAACCGCACTACATACATGCATAAACCTGCCTAACGTCTCAAGCTCCACGGAATTAAAAATAAAATTCAATTTTATTCTTCTTACTAATTAATTATTGACTTTAAAAGCCAAAAACTAACTTTTTAGAACTCTATTGTCTAACACCATCTTATGCCTCTAACCACACCAACGTGAAGAAATCTACTACAATCACAAAACACCCTTGTGCTTCTTGCAAACTTCCGATGACCCTAGAGACCTCAACAAACTTTTAAGGGCCCCGTTGCCCCCCGTGCCCCCCCCCCCCCCCCCCACTTGCATAACCCCGGAGAGGGTTCCGGGTATCAAATTACAGTTCACGGTGCCTTGTGATAGGCTCACGACGCTATTGTTCCGCCGATTGCTCCGGCTCACATTTTGTTTGGCTTGTTAAACAAAACTGTTCCATTTCCCTGATCATATCATGGCCACTCGAAGAAACGCCTCGAAGCTGGCATTTCTCAGGACGAGCAATTTTCCCCAAACTTTCATTCTGTTCGCCATTAAGTAATGGCGTTACGTCATTTGTTCCTACGACTTGACATTATGGTTTGTGATGTTTAAACTGTGGTGAATACATACTACAAAGTTTAAATGTTCAAAATATACCCGTGTTACACAATTGAAATATTGGGTGACTACGATAAGATTTTTACGTTAAGCTAGGAATGTAGAAATAATTACTAAACAAACATAAATATCTAGCAGGAACTATACCAATGACTTAAGAACTAATTTTAATTTATAAAGGTAGGACTCATGCATCAACATTGTTTTAGATTAGGTTCTCATATACGAAATACATTTATGTACTCGCTAATTTACATGTACTTGAAACGTCGAAGAATAAATAGGATTAATTATTTCAATACGACTAAACAATTTCGAAAGACATTTCGAAATTTCAAATGTTTCACAAGCTCTTGCAAGTAAGGGCGAAACTAAAAAGTTACGAGGTCCCCTAGAATCTCATGTTTGGGACCAGTTGAGGCGGGTTCAACTGATAGTTTCATTATATCAGAACGTCTAATGGTCCATATCGGCTATCCATCCGTCCTGTCGCCGGCGCCGCGGAATTCCTATCAAGACTGGTCCATAAACCTCATATTTGGAGGAATGGAGGACCGATGGATGGTCGGCCGGCGGGAGGCGGTTCCTTTGCGCCCGAATATTAATAGCGAATAATAGCAATTAAGAGTTTCAAGTAAGCCACGACTGTTTCAGATGGCAGGAGCGGTTCGGGAATGAGCTAGTCCTCGGCCACATGTCCTGTGTCACCCAATGAAGCGGAGGAACTTCCAGATGTCTCGGCGATTTTCCGGGATCTTCAAGGGTTCATCGCAGAGAAATCTCCGTAACTACCAGGATACATCCATGCGGAATCCCGGTGTTTTTCGAGAATAATCCCTGAAAGATTTCAGTAGCTTCCAGGATACGACAGTGCAATATTCATGCAAGATTCGTCGCAGATAAATCTTTGTAGCCATCATACATCCCTGCGGGGTCCCGGTATTCATAATGAATCGTTCCTGAAATATCCCGGTAGCTTCTGGGAGTAGCCGCTGCAATATTATTTTGACGTCCCGGTGTCCTTCAGGATTCATCCTTACAAATCCTTAGTGTCTTCCAGGTTCAACCCCTGCGAAATCCCAGTGAATTTAAACATTTATTCTTGCAGAATCCCGGTGTATCCAGGAATTTAATACTGCATTATCCTTGTGTCTTCCAGGATTCAATGCCGTGATATCCCGGTGTATTCTAGAGTCCTAGGCTGTGATCTCATATCCGTCCACCGTCCCTGACTTGTAGAAATGTCGATACTAGTTAAATCTATTTAGTTATTTATTATATAGTTAGTTATGTAAATGTTAGTGTTAGATTTGAGCTGCTAGAGAATTTATTTTGTTGTTAAACTGTCTATTCGTTAAGTAGATAATGTTTAAGCTGAATTACTATGTAAACAGCTATCTCGTTTTACCATTGACTATAGTCAAAGGTTTTTCTAGTGAGTTGCTTAGTTGGAAATTTGATCAAAAATGCTACATTAAAAACAAGAGTTTTTTTAGATTTTCCACGGTTTGATTTTCTATATTTTTGTTAACTTTATTGTTTTTGCTATAAATACTTCTATCATTTACCGAAAGTTAAAGCTTAATACATCTTCAAATAATAAATATGTAGATCCTTATATTTTAATTTCTAGCCTATCGAAAAATAACATTTCAATTATTGGATTGTAAAAAAACAACAGTAAAAATACTTGTGAAATCATATAAATGTAGTAGAAAGATTGGACTTAAGAAATTTTTGTTTTTTCAAAGGATTACTATATGCAGGTATTGTAAACCATTTTAAATTATTGTTAAATATAGTTTGTCAATTTTTACGGTACTTTGTACTAAATACGGCTGGTTGTGCAATAGATTAGATTGTTGCTAAATTGTTATGTGTGTTGTGTATATCATGTATTTGTTGTATGTTTTATTTGTTACGCATAAAAGTTAAAGACTATGTTTCAAATAAGTTTTTTTTTTTTGTAAACCATGCGTGTATAACTCTTGTCAATTTTCATAAAAAACATGCAATGATCTTTAAAATACAACACTTTAAAAAAAATTTAGTTATCTTTTTTGTCATCGTTTGGACGGTTGTACTTTTCTTTCATTCATTAATCTGAACGAGGCTTTAAGGGAAAAATATTCTTGAGAAATTACTGTAATTGGTTTTATAATAATTTTTACAGTCAAAGTCCACATTGTGTTGATTTTTGTTATAATTCAATAACTATATGTACAACTTGTGAAATATGTATTTATGTACAAATTAGTGTATATATCCTCGACAAGAGAATAACTGTATTCTTCCATTATTGTATACGACCCAGTATACGAACCTTTGTATATACTTGTGTATATACGAGCACGGCAGCCATATTAAATATACTACTAAATTGTACATAGTAGAGTTAAGGCTAAGCCAGTTTAGAATGTAGTTACAAAAGAATTGTTTATAGATATTTTATGTTTATATTTTTTACTCGATGTGTGAGTATGATAGACGCCAATTGAAAATACATTTCAGTTATATTATACATTGTATATTGTTTCTATCCTGAAATCCCGTGTTATAGTAGAACCGTATTATATGAGTATGGAATATTGAGAATGTAAAGAATATTAACCATCCCAAATTTATATAATCTTATGTAAATATTTAGGGTCTTTTACAAAACAAGGCCACCACTATTTAAAGTTTGTCTACACGATTATTTTTTGTGATTATTTATGTTCAATAAATAAAATTAAAAGTGTGAGTAAAACTATAAACTGACCTAGCCTAACCTAAATTGTGGTCATTCCACAATTGAAATATTGGCGGCCATCTTATAAAAAAGGCCCAATATTATTTAGCCTATTAATTTTTTTTTTAGCTAAAATCAAAGAAGTTTTTTGTATAGTTTTTCAGAAGTTCATTGGTACAAACACGTTGATAACAAACGAAGAAAATCTTAATCAGACTAGTTTTGCAATTAAAGTATCACACGAATTGTTATAAATTATAATTAACTAGCTGTGTGCCCGTTCTACGCACGGGGATCTTATAGTTGTCAGTTGAAACCTTATTGTATAAAGAACAGCAATTGGTTTGCATATTTTCAGATGTGCTGGCAAAACTATTATATAGAAACTTAATATAATAACATATAAAGAAAAAGCAAAACTTACACAGTAAGACATCAGTTAAATTGAATACTACTGTAATAAATAAGGTGCAACACTAACGATAACTAATTTGTAAATGGTGATGTGTTGGTATGGTACGTAAAATTATTCTTGTTGATACCACCTACCAAAGAAATATGTGATACCACTAAGGAAAAAACCAGTACCAAAAACCAACGTTTACAGTTAAGAACTATAGTACATCCGACGAATTAAATGCGTTAATACAGTTTCGAGGCTATTGATCTCTCTTGGTTTTGGATTTTCTGACAAAAATTTATCGAAAATCAAAGTTTTTTTCCATTAATTGAATTATTTGTGAACAACTTTTAATGTAAACATTTTGGTGACAGTTTGAACAAAACAACCTCGTCCAAACAGCTTTTTGTTATTTAAAAGATTGCGTATTCTCTAAACTATGTTTCGTATATGTAGTTAACATAAGAAGGAAATGTGAAAAAAATCACACAATGTTGTGTTTTTTAACGTTTTTAATTTGATTTCCTAAGTAGGTAGGTCATGTATTGTAGGGAAAAGTACCGATATCAAGGATCGTCGTCGAATAGGTTGTCATGAATAATAGGGTAGGCGGGGTAGGCCTACGTACCCAAGATACAGTCTATGGGCTTATTGGATGTATGGTCCAACGATTGCAGCACATATCGGTGAGTAACCGAAAGTGACACATTGGAAAAGCGAGTTTAGCATCATCCGTAAACCGGCAAACCTCTGTTACAATCACCCACTGCAGTTATGATTTTTCACTTTACACTTCACACAACCGCCATTGAAACGCCGTCAATGAGTGAAAATCTTGTTAGTAAGCTATTGGCGACGATGATTTTATAAATGTAAGTTCTTAGCCCTATACAACACTGATTCAAGGTCTTTTGCCCGGTTATCAAAACTTCAGAACAATTTTATACACAAAGAATCTCTAATTTCATTTACAGTTACAATACACATTATTGAACTTTCGATTAATTAAATCCTTTATGTAAGGAAAGTCGTTTTTAATCTCACTTGGTTTGGATTTTGCTTTCAAAACGTTATTGGAAATGTTTGCGATATTTGTAAACAACATTTAATGTAAACATATCAGTGACAGCTAGAAAAAATAATCTTGATCCGAACAGCTGTTCGTTATTTCATAGATGATTATGTGATGGACATTGGGAAAAAAACTTGACAAAAATCGCACGAAATCGGGTTTTTAAACATCCGTCATTTTATTTAAAAAAAAGTGAGGCCATATTTTAATGGTTAAAGACAATCTCGCCAATCCAGTGAATACATTAAAATGATTTGGATCTTGATAGGTACTCTCGTTTTTCAGGAGAAGGCCGCGTAAAATGCCTCTTGGGCCGTTAGAGACGGACCGAAATTTTGAGCAATGTACAGACAAAACTCTAATTTTATTTATATAGATTTGAATAAAGATGGTAACAGACGTAATACAATAATCTACCAAAAGGTAGGTGTTGGATAGGAATACCAGAGTTTCGACCGCTTCCATGCAAACAAGTGTAACAATGGCATTGAAACACAAAGATTTACTACAAAATCGTGTGTCAAATAAGAATTTCTTACATTAGTTGGTCAAAATATGATGTTTTAACACTAAAAATAAGAAGCAGTGCTACAAATTATTTGATATTCAAGAATAAATTGCATGACGTTTTACAATTTAGTAACTGTGTGTACTGTGTACGATAAGACAAACTTTTCGCCAAAGCAGCCCTGATATATATATATATACATGTTACAGAAAAAATGGAAACTATTCTTTAATGGTGGCTTTGTTACATATGCCGATCTATTAATGATAATAATCAATTAACGCCCAAGTAAAAAATTGAATTTGATTAGCAAAGTGTTTGTAATGTATGCCAGGCGATTGCTGAGTTGTTTGACAGTGTCGTTTTATAATAGTTATTAAGCGAAGGTAAATACCGTACATTTTCAAAATTACTAAATGCCCAAAAACACTAGTGAGAATGTAGTGGTTTTGTTTTTAATTTGATCATTTTTTAACCGACTTCCCCACTACCAACAACAAAAGGAGGAGGTTCTCTATTTGTCTGTGGCGATGTTTTTTTTCTATGTATGTTCACCAATTTCTCTGTGATTCTTTTACCGATCAGCGTGGTTCCACCACCAAAATAACCAGGAGAGTTTCTATTTGGTACCATATATAGCATTATGTTTAAGAAAAATATTTTTTTGGTGAAAAATGCTGAAAAACCTCAAATATTCAACATTTATTTTGTTTATATTTTTGCAGGGAAGGCAATACATAATAATAACATTCCTGCAGCTGTTAGTTAAAACCATTTAAATGAAGCTACAGACAGTTTCTTCATGAAACAGTTGCTTCATATTGATTAGTACTTATTGATTAGTACTTGATAACAAAAATATTTCTACTTTTAAGAGATTTTTTAGTGCTGGTGGCTAAGGAATAACTTTCTTATTGTTCTAAAAGGCTTGGGACCTTACTGTATTTAGTTTTATAATGTAGAAGTACACCAATTGCAGGAAACGATGATGTCTGGCATTTCAATGTCTCTAGGAAAGACATTTAGTTTTTCATTAGGCCTAATGTAATGGACAACTCATTGTTTTTTTTTGTTTTTTTTTTGTTTTTTTGAAAATCCAAAAATGTTAATTTTTAATACCCATTGATTATGTAACCTGAACAGGTGACTCAAGCAGTTTAAAAATAATGATTGTTCTGTGGCACGTTTGATTGTTTCAACAAGTTTTGCTTATCAAAAAACCTCAAGTAATTAATATATAACAAATTATACAGTCACTAAAAATCACGAAATAATTTATTTTTGTAAAAAAATACAACCGACTTCAAATTCTCTAAAAAGAAAGAAATAATTTCAATGAAGTAAACTTTTGTATTAGTCAAGCTCACGTATTTCAAGTCGGTGCGGCTCTAACTGCAAAAATATGAATAAAATGAAAGATATTGAGAGAGTATTTTGAAAATCTATAAATTGTCGCTGGATAACATAAATGTATAAAAAAACACACTGAACTGTTTTGTTTATATATCAAAGGAAGTATTTTCTTGTATTTTATGTTTACTTCAGAATGATTGCATAGAGAAAATAACACACACAAATGTTCTATATGAATAGGAAAATTATTTAAAATTATGATAGGGAAAAGAAGCTAGTTTAAAGTTAAAACGTTACTTTTCCAAGTTAGAAATATGTAAATACATTATAATCTTTTTAAAGATACTCGTTAATACCGCGATAAGATTATAATCACCTTTAGTTATAGATAGTCATCTGCAATTTGGACATCCTCTTTAAATTTTGTATCAAAAATCATCATAGAGCCGCGCTGACTTAAAATACGTGAGCTTGACTAATACAAAAGTTTACTTTATTGAAATTATTTCATTCTTTTTAGAGCATTTGAAATCGGTTGTATTTTTTTACAAAAATAAATTATCATTCAACACCAGCGTAAAATAAGGTAATTTGTATAATATCGAGGCAGAGAAGGTATAGAATGGGCAGATATACCATGGATGTGGATACCTTTGATGCTGGAAAAGATCAGTTGATTTTTAGACTAAATGATGGGTTATAAATAATCTTAAAATGAACAGTTCACCAATGCCAGTTGAGTCAAGTTTAGACCTTTAAAAATGGTGTCTAAGTATTACTTAAAAGTTTATAACACAAGTTAAATCTTTATGTTCTATTGTCCAATACGTCCAAAGTGGTCTGAGCAACTTCCTTAAGAGTCCTCATCAGTGCTAGCCATATTGGATTTTAGTCCCATAAGAGCAATGTTAACATTGTAATAGAATTTCTTAAAACCCGGTTGTGATCAAATAATGATTGAGGTGTTAAAATTAAGGTTTAGTGGTCCTCTATGGAGTCAAGATTTTAATTTTGCCATTTTCCCTCCACTTAATAGGTTAATGGTCATTAATTAGGCCCTAAGTTAAATAATTTACTAAGAAAAGACAAAACAAATATTTGAAATATAATTTCCTTATTCCCTAGTACTCTATGTTATAAACCTAATTATACATTTTCAAAACTATAGCTTTAAAAATAACACCGGCATGCTGCTTCAAATGATGTTATGTTCTGTCAATTAACATTGCTCTTATGGGACTAAAATCCAATATGGTTACCACTGATGAAGACTCTTTAAGTAAACTAGTGCACCTGTTGCTCGAATTCGAGCAATTGCAAAATGTTGCATGTGTTATTTCAAAACGAATAACATTCATAATTTTCGATGACTTAAAAGTGTCAACTCAAAGATAAATAATCAATTACTCCGCACCAGTTATCGAAACTAT